GCACTTGGAATATGCAGGCGACATATATGTATATGTACCAGGGTCTTCAACAGTGCACTCAGCTCCTTGGTGACGACGCTGAACTTGAGGAACGCCGCCCCAATGTCGGGCTCGTCCTGATCGATCACCTTGCCGCCGAGTCGCTCCAGAGCTCGCACCATGAACATCTCATTGTCCACATGGGCTGCAATTAGACAGAAAGATATCAGTATCTGGGGCAGCACTCCATATCGTGTACTTACTGTTCCCCGAGTTGTGTATGGCCTTGACCGCCTTCTTCAGCTTCGTGAGGCCTTCCCGGTCGAACTCCAGGCGCTGCAAAGAGTGAGCAAATATCGTTTCAGTTTTTATAGTTATGGGGAGGGGAAGCGGTAGGCGTAGGGGCAGTGGCAGGGGCAGGGGCGATTTCCTCAGCAGCATTCCAGCTGAAAACGGAAGACAATCAGATGTGCCCGTTCCATGCATGGAAACGGATTCCATAGGCACAATTCTATAGCACACCAAATGCATTTAATAGCAGAATTTGGTATTCCATCCACTGCCGCCCCACGTTGTATGGAAAATGTGTCCACAAGGTCATTTCGTTTAATAAAATTAATAATCACCAGAACCCCAGTCCCAAGCCCAGTTCCCATTTCAAATGCAGCCCCCCACCATCTGATGCATCGCGGCATAAATCAATTAAAACCATTCCAACGGCGGTGCACTCTCCCTTCATTCTCTTGAGGGCTCCTTTTCGGAGTTACAATCTCTACTATTACTCGAATTATGTGATTTGTGGAAAACTCTCCTCTCTCTCCTCTCCCCCTTGACCCATTGACTTTTCCCCAATTGGCATCAATTCAATTGTTTTTGGAGAATATTGAATTAAATATCAGAAGAGAGTCACCCCGCTGCCGATGGATCTACATGAATGCCTTTTCTGATTGCTGATGGCTGGATGGGGGCTCTCTCATGAATTATGAACTCGAACAACCATTTGATGCCAATAAATTCCGACGGCCATTACCAGCGGAGATTAGATTAAATGTTTTTTTGTATTTATAAGCTGGTAATATCTACAAAAAAAAAGATCCAATGCCATCCACCTTCGCTTCCTCCTGCGGCTGGGGTTTTGCAACATCAAAATCCTTATCAGCGCCCTGCACACGACATGTAGATTGTTTTTGAGATTTTCTCGAGCATTATGCAGAATTCTATTGTGCCGAGAGAAGTTCCAAGTAAGGACGTGGTTCATAGAATTTCCTGGACAGCTCACAGAAACCATTCGAATGCAAAAACACACGTTCCACCGCATACGGATAGGCGAAGAACAATACCAATAACTAGCTCAAATCAAAATCAAAATCAAAGCCAAGTCTCGAGTTGGAACTCGTTTCTCTGGGATCTGCTGGCCGGTCGGGACGGGTCGGTTGACGGGTTTGCTGTTTTGATAACAAAAGGCGCTAATTTATACTGAATCAAACGCTGAAGCCCGAGAAGATGGCTGCTGAAACCGCAACATGGTTTATAGAACACCACAAATATGTAAATTTGTATGGGATATACATGGGTCCTACCGTCTCCCTGGCGACGCCTGGGGATGACTAACACTTGGCCAATGATTCAGTGGGTGGAGTGGCCAAAAGTTGGAGTTGAAATTCATCTTGGACCAGAGGGAAACTGGGAGAAAACTACATATTTTCTAAGGCTAATATTTAATTTAATTTTAGACAGATTTACAGACACGGGAATCGGTAACGGGGAACGGGGAACGGTACGGAACACGCAATAAAAAGAGACAAAAGCTGAACAAACTCAAATGAGATGGAAATAAAGCACACCGCCCGACCGTCTGCCGGAATGGGGGTCACTGGGCTGGGCGCCTGCGACTGCGACTGGGCCTGGGCCTGGGACCACTAAAAATCCATCAGCGAAATTAAATATTAAATGTTTGATGTGGAGGCCGGCCCCGAGAAGGCGTGACGTGACGTGACGTGACCAGCAGCTCTCTTGGCACCAATTATCAAATGTGTGGAGCGAAGCGGCTGCTGCACGGGACCTGTACGGGAATATGGGATGTGGATAGAGGATAGGCATAGGCACACTCTCTCAGAGTGTGTGTCGGGGGAGCTGTGGCACATTTAACAGCAGATATTGCATAATTTCCATGGCCAGTCGCTGTTTAAATGACAAATGGGATGAATTTTCCACTTGAGCAACAGCCACTTGGCCACTTTCTGTGGGTGATGATAAGTGAGTGCTTTTCCACCCGCCCAGGGCAGCCATTCCCATTCCCCCGGACTAAGCCTTGACTAATCAATGCGGTTGCTTCTCTGGTATTTTGTTCTTATCACACGCCTTTTCCGGCCCCGCAACACCACTTTGCCTTGTATTTGTTGTACTTGGGCTTATCAATGCGGTGGGGTGGGAGAGCGGGAGAGGCCGCATCAGCAGCTGCTGCGGGGTGACTAAAAATAGAAATTGCAGCACACTCGTGTGGCAGAGACACCTCCCATTCCCGCACTCTACAGTCCTCAGCAGCCAGCTGTGCTGCTTTAATTAAGAATGCATTTAGTGGGTCCCGCGACCCGCGTTAAAGGAAAAAACCACCTTGCTGCAGAGAGAGAGAGGGAGAGACAGAGAGAGAGAGCACGCGCGCGTGATAGAGAGAACGAGAGAGAGCAAAATTGGCTCCAAGCCAATTTATAGAAATCTCTTTTGTTGCTTCTAATCGTATTGTGGGGGGAGAGAGACGCCGACGCCCCTTCTTTGGGTACTGCACCGCATCACACAAGCACTTTTCCAGGGAAAACGTCGATTTATTTATAATAATTTCTGTCATCATTGCTTACCTCTTCCAGAATGCCAATCGTCTGGCGGCAGTCCGGCATTCGCGAGGCGAAGGTGGAGGTGGTGGGAGAGCTATAGTCAGAGCGCGTCTCCTCCACAAACTCGGAGATGGCTATCAGGGCTGGCGGCATCTTGTTCGACTGGACTGGCTTCCTGCTGCAGGGGCACTCACTCTCGGCGACGAACGGACAATCAACAACAACAACAGTTTACTATGTCCAAGGACATGCACACGGAGCGAGTACGAGTGCGAGTACGAGCGCGATGGCGATGTCGATGGAGGGAGGGAAGCAACGAATAGAAACTTCGGGGCACGGCACGGCGCGAACACACGGCACAGGAACAGGCACAGCTGCCGTGCTGCTGCTGGCCTTGTGGCGAGAAGCGACAAAGAAAGGATCAAAACGAATGGCACAAGGGGCAGGCAGCAGCAGCAGCAAGCAACAAGAATCAGGATAACGCCTTCCTCGATGGGCGACGACTGCGTTTGTATGCGACTGTGCGGTGTGTGGTGTACGTGAGTTTGAGAGTGTGTGTGTGTAGGTGTGCGAATGTGGTGTTCTATTTTCGTGGAGTTATTTGTATTTGGTCACCGCTCTGCCTTTGGATTACTAGTATTATTATTGGAGTTACACTTTCCCTTGCCTTGCACTGCTAGTCACGCACACACACACATATCACATATTTACGCACTGGTCTTCTCATCATCCTAGCACTCTCTTCCCCGCGATTCGATTTTTTTGGTACTATGGGCAGCGGCAGCGCAATTAGCGTTGGAATAGAGAAATGCGCAGTGCATTTTCACAGCAGTTTAGTGTGTGCCACATTTTGGATCTAGCATCTAGCACTTCCACACAAACGACGACACTGGACACTGGCACTGGGGCATAATTAATGGTTCGCTAGTGCTTAATAAATTAATTGTTGTTTTATTGTGCTGCTGGCGTCTGCATTTTCACTGGTTACTGGTTGCTACACTTTGGGGATTACGGATTATCTTAGGCCTTCGTTTTGGGTTGTACTTTTCAGATTAATTCTCTTGTTTTCTTGTGTTTCTTAGATTTGTGTTTGTTTTTTGTGTTTGCTCAATTTTTTACGCGTACTGGTTATTTGCTACTAATGGGAGGATAAAGAGGGTATGGACAACAGCAAAACGACCCAGAAAATGCAACGAATGCACGGTAAAATCCACACCCTTTGCTTAACACACCTTGAAGTCAAAAGGCAGTTTTTCTCGACACCCGCGAGGTGAGGTTTGTACGAACCTTGCAATTTGCCTCGTCTGTTTTTGCCTGTTGTCCATACCCTTTTTTATAGCCCATTCAAAATTTCGACTCATTTTATCGTTTCGGAGAGAGCAGTAGTGTGACCGTCGCGAGGTCGTACAATTAGTGTTGGTAGCCGTTTCCAGACGCAAAAATATCTCTCGATCTCACTGCATGCCTTCCCCATAAGGCAGTCACAGTTTAGGAAGTTAGCCAGTTAGCAAAGTCTAATGTCATAAGGCTATTATACATTATGCAAGTGTGTACACATTGGTCACCATAGCATAAATAATTAATATTAATTATTAAAAGGATTAATGCTTCGCGTTTCGTTTTTGGTTTCCTCACACAGTTTTTTTTATTCATTTCCCGGACAAGTTCACACTTTTTCTCTGACATTATATATCGTTCACACTGCTTCCTAGGGCTGCAAACTTAGATCCTCAATAGTATCGAGAAGAAATTGAAATTTTTCAGTGCTGCCAATTATTTAAAGAACAGCGGTTGAGGTGGGTGAGTTAATGGAGAGAAGAAAAGGATAAAGGATAGAGGAAGACGTTTTTTCTTTAGGTTATATTTATTCATTCCAATGCATGGCAAAATTTCCTGTTGAAACCATAGAGACCCCGCTGTTAATTTAAAATTCACTGGAACTTCACGCTGTGCATAGAGATGATCACAAACCCGAATTAGAGAGAAGTAATCATATAGCTATCGTAAAAAACCATCGACTCAAGTCATAATATGTCTAATATTTTATTTCCTAATTTTTTATCCCTGTTTCGCCATAGTATGGTTAGTGAAAATAGCCTATAAACTGTTTCTGGCGTAATTCTAGTGTAATCTAAAAACATCGATATTTTTTCTGCAGTCTACACGCAGACATCGATGTTGACATCGATGTTTCTCCAGCTCTAATCGTGCGGCCAGAACTAGGAAAAAAAAATTGCAATCAAATGGCTGGGAAACGGCAAGCGACGTCAAATCTTAACCATGATAACTGGGACCAGGAGGAAGAGCCCGAGGACCGTGGCACCTTCAAGACGGCAACACAGGAGGAGTTGAAGACACGCGTCATCAAGAAGGCGCGCCGCTCTGTTGCCGGTGCATCCACAGATGGCGGGGACACTGCAGCCGCATCGAAAAGCATTTTCAGTGGATTTTCAGGCAAGTGCAACAGCAAAGAAGCATTATTTGATTAACCCTAATGTTGTATTTAATGGTGTTCAGGTTTTGGTAGGCCGGCCAACGCATCGGCTACAGGCTCGCCGTTTGCATACCTATCAAACCAGACGCCGGCTTCTACTAGTGGCGAAGCGCCGAAGACCACATTTTCGTTTTTAACTAGTTCCAGCAACACCAATAAAAAGCAAGATGGCGAGACAGCGACCCTTGGCAGCAGCATCAGCTCAACGGCCAGCACCAGCGATGGTACTGCTCGATCCTCTTCAATATTCGGCAACGTGTATGCGGCTAAAAAGGATCCCGAACCGTCGGCGGCCAGCAGCACTACTACGCCAGTTTTTGGCAACGTACCAGCGGTTAAAAAAGATGCCGCCGTTCCTTCGTTCTCCTTCGGGAGTGCAACAATGCCAGTAAAGCAATCAACAACTGCACCAACTTCTATTTTCGGCAACGCGTCAGCTGCTAAAAAAGATAACGCCATACCTTCGTCGTCCCTTGGAGAAACCATAGCAGCAACAGCAAGCACCACTCCTTCCGCTTCAATTTTCGGCAACGTGTCTCCTGCTAAAAAAGACGTCAACATACCTTCGATCACCTTTGGAGCTAGAAAATCGGCAGAAAAGGTTTGCACAAGTACCACAGATGGTACTACTCTAAACACCTCAATTTTCGGAAAGAGTTTGGCGGCCAAAAAAGAGAGCAATGCAGAAACTTCCAAGCCAAGTAGTAAACCATCGCCCAGCAAGACAGCCGGCAACACAGTACGGAGCTCCGAATACCGAGATAATGTGGCCGATTTGAACCGTGATCTGCTGAAGTTTCTAAACGAAAGCCTGGACAAGAGTCTCTACTGCATACTGACTCCCGTATTCCAAACATATGACAAGCACCTAAAGGAACTGCTGGACGAGGAGAATGCCAAAACGAAGGCAAACTCTCAAATGAAGGCCCCAGTTCCAGCAGGATCGACTCTGCCGGAAATGGCGACTATCCCAACAACGCCAGTCACCGATACTTTGGGAAAAGTTCCGTTTTCCTTTGGCAAACCTGCCACTCCCGTCACTGGCTCGTCGGTGCCCTTCTCCGCCAAGAAGCCAACTTGCACCATTACCAGCGGCAGCACAGCCACCACGACAACCACACCGCTGTTCTCCTTTGGCAGCACTCCAGCTGCAGCTTCTCCGAAAATACCTACCTCCACTTCCACCCCTGGCATGATGAGCTTCTCGCCAAAGCCTTTGGGGGAGAGTAAAACTGAAGATGTGTCCAAGCCAGGCTTCTTTAGCTTTGGAGCTAAGGATAATTCCAGCAACAAGGCCGAAACAGCTGCCGTGCCACTGAAAACAAATGGCTTTAGCTTTGGATTCAAGAGTGCCGTCGCCGATGACAAACCTGGCGGTAGCTCCTCGCTATTTATGGGATTCGGAGGTGCACCTTCAGCGGCTGGAGGTGATGCCAAGCCTTCTGCCGGTTTCTCATTCACCCCAGGAGCCACACCCTTCTCCTTTGGCAATATAAAGCCGCCTGCAGCAGCTACAGAGTCCGCTGGAAACACAGAAGACCAGGATGAAGAGGACCAGCCACCGAAGGTTGAGTTCAAACAGGTAAATACATACATCACTTGAAATAATCCCCATCGACAGCATGTAAAACACTGATATACTTTCCAGGTCATCGAAACAGATGCCGTGTACTCAAAGCGCTGCAAGGTGTTTGTAATGAAGGGTAAGGATTATGCCGATCGCGGAGTGGGCACGTTGCATTTGAAACCAGTGAAGGACTCGGCGAAGGCACAGTTAATTGTTCGTGCCGACAACAATATTGGTCAGGTACTGATCAATCTTATGGTCGGCAATGGCCTGCCCTGCCAACGCATGGGCAAGAACAATGTAATGATTATGAGCCTGCCCATGCCGGAGGATACCAAAGCGGTGTCTATTTTACTGCGCGTTAAGACCGGCGAAGAGGCCGACGAGCTATTGGCGAAAATCAAGGAGTACACCAAGTGAAGGGCCGCATTTTTAATAAATCGTACATTTGCATGTTATTTGATTGTTTATATAATTTACAAAGCTATAAAAATAGAATATCAGAATGTATGTAAACGCTCGTTGCATTATTTAGGCTCTGGGTACGACACGTTTTGCTTCAATCAGATCGATCATATTGACCATTAAACAGGGTATATCTTCGCATGAGTCGTCTAAGCTGTTGCAGTACTGTTTCAGTACAGGACTGATGCCTGGAGGAGATGCTGGAAGATAGAGAGAGCACATACAGACATCGGATCGGTAATTGAATTGATAATAGTTTTTCTTACATATAACTTGCAGTGAAACGGCTTTGGTGCGACGATTGATGTAGGTACAGCTAGCAGCTATAACTCCGGTTAGCCCCGATCCCATTGACTTCTTGATCTTCCTTAGCTTGAAGAGTATTGTGTCGCCCCTTTTTGGCAAATCCTTTAGCGGAGATGCGTTTTTAAACATGACCATCGAAGAATCATTTGCCTGAGAATCTAAAAACATATTTGTTCCTTAATTTGGAGGAGTCTGAATTGAATATCATAGTTTACTTCTTACCATTACTTGGGACATCTTGGGGGGACACTTCCACGTCAGAGTCTACATCTACACTGGTGTCATCTAGCACCATGACATCGTCCTCGGAATCACAGTCTATAGCGTCGGCACAAACACGTCTGGGAACCGTTTTCACATCTACTAAGGGTGCCACAGCTTCTGTTGTAGCTCCAGCTCCAGCTATAGTTGTAGATTCATGTTTGGCGGTCTTGGGAGTGGCCAATTTAATGTGTTCACTGGAATCTGTTTGCTTTTTCTGGTATTTTCTAGGGATATCTTGGGCGGGTTTCGATTTGATTGAAATGTTGTAAGTGCGCACTTTGTTTGAGTCCAGCTCCATTAGCGGGCAACGAAACGAAATGGGCCGCGGTTCAGGGACTAACAATGTGGAATTTTCCTTTGCTGTTAGGTCTGGCTCCTGTAACTCTGATGGGCGGGGAAGTGTAGAGGTAATTTGAAGACTCGAACTGCTTATTTGATATTCGGCCATAAAGGAATTGTGAACTGGGGGGTCCTGTCGTATGACTTCAGCTTTTCTGTTATCATCGTCATCAGAACTTGACTGATCGCATTCGGAGTTATATTGGGGCATTGGCATCGTGGTTTCATTTGTTTCAGCCTTATCATCAGCAGCGGCATTCGAGGAAATTGGTTGCAAAGTCGATTTATTAGAGCGCTTTCGCTGATTCAGCGAGGCATTGGAGAGTAGCTCCACGTCTTCACTGGTGTTACATGAAGGATTCACCTTATCATCAGCAGCGGCATTCAGAGGAATTGGTTGCAAAGTCGATTGTTTTTTCTGTTTGAAACGCTTTGGCTGGTTCAAAGTGGAGTTAGATAGTGGCTCCTCGGCTTCACTGGTGTTACATGAAGGATTCACCTTATCATCAGCTGCGGCATTCTGAGTAATTGCTTGCAAAGTCGATTGTTTTTTCTGTTTGAAACGCTTTGGCTGGTTCAAAGTGTTGTTGGATAGTGGCTCCTCGGCTTCACTGGTGTTACATGAAGGCTTCACCTTATCATCAGCTGCAGCACTCAGATTTATTGATTGCGAAGCCGATTTGTTTTTCTGCTTGAAACGCTTTGGCTGGTTCAAAGTGGAGTTGGAGAGTGGCCCGTCGGATTCACTGGTGTTACATGAAGGATTCACCTTATCATCAGCTGCGGCACTCAGAGAAATTGGTTGCAAAGTCGATTTGTTCTTCTGCTTAGAGCGTTTTGGCTGATCCCACGGGGGGCTGCAGCGTAAGCTCTCGGTTTCATCGAATGATTTCTTGCGCTTCTTGCTTGTCTTTTTGCTTCCTTCCTCTAAACTGGTGGCTGGTGGTTCATGGAAAGAGAAGGCCCTGCAACGCATCGGATCGCCTTTAGAATAATTGTTTTTAATACCGAGATTAGTTCACTTACTTCAATCCAGAAGCATCTTTGAGCACCCTCAGAGACTCCTTGGGCGGTAGAAAGTATCCTGAATTGGTAAGCAAACGAATATCTTTCTGCAAGAGACATCTGTAATGTGAGTATAGCAAACTTTTTGAATGGAATGTTTGTTTCCGCATACCAAATTGAAGAGGACCTGAATGTGCTTCTGCACATCCTCAATAGTTTGCCACGTGCTGTCGATCAATATCAATGCGTTCTGACGCTCGTCGCTAAAAAAGAATGTAAGGTTCACCTTCATGGTAAACGCTTCCATTGTTTCATTTATTTTTGATTTTGAAATGGAAAATGCTCCCTTCAGTCTTCTTCTTTTCGTTCCCGTACGAAAGGCATCCCTGGTTGCGCCAGCAAAATATTTATTTTCACAGCACTCTATTTGGTTTTTAAAATAAATCCAACAATGGAATTCAACAACTTATTTAGTCAACAGGGACTAGCTTTAATTTACTGTGCGAATTTTGCATAGAAAACTCGGGACGGGATAAAACACGAAACGAAATCACGATATCGATAGCAGATAAAGCAGACCTGCATACCGATAGAGATAGGCAATTCTGTTCTGTATTTCCAACGAAAACAAATCTTATCAATAAAATAAATTGAATGGAGTAGCATTAATCATAGCTCCGATTAGGTATAATGATGTGATACAGACACGAGGATACTGTTCCAACTCAAAAATGAGCAACGGTGACGACACTCAAAATAACCAGAACCAGGGCGGCGATGGGGGGGAGCGCTCTGCTGTGGATTCAACAAAGGAAAAACGAAGTTGGTTTCATTCCTTGACCAGACGGAAGAAGTCCGACTCTGCCCTGGTCGCCCCGCCCACTACCAGCGACGCTGTTGCCCAGCCATCTTCCCAGATGCAGAATAATAACAACGAGCTCTGTGTCCCAAATGCATCTGGCTGCTCCGGTGGGGATGCATCCATGGTCATCGGCAGCACCAGCAGCAGCAGCCACAGCAATGGGGGAACTCTGCGTAAGCGGAAGGACAAACGGAATGTGTTCTCGCGTCTACGAAAGAAGGTGGGGCAGGGCTTGAGCTCCCTGCGAAATTGGAACTCCATGGGCGACTCCGACTGTGACGGAGGCACCACCGACGCTACTTATGAGTTCCTTACACCGTCCATTTGCGTTGAGCCCACATTGCCATTCACCCACGATTACTTGCGTTTCATCCAGAAGAAGTGGCTGAAGCGACAGGACACGCCAAACGAGGTCATGTACAAGGCCTGTTCGGAGATGCTCAAGTAAGCGCAACATCATCATATTTCGATCATCGATGATGACTCATATCTCGCACTCTTTGTGGCCTCATTTGTATTTCAGTCAAGTTTGGTACTGGGGCGAGATTTCCAGGCGAGATGCACAGCGCCAGCTCAGCGACAAGCCGACCGGATCATTTCTCGTTCGCGACTCGGAGACAAGCGGGTCCCAGTTCACACTCAGCTTCCGTATTGTCAATGTAACGCTGCATTACCGTCTTGAGTATAAGGATGAGTTCTGGAACTTTGAGGAGCTCAAGTACGCGTCGATTGTGGAGATGATCGAGGACATCTTGTATCGTTGCACCAACGATAACTTTGTGTGCTTCGTCAAGGTGCCCAATGAAATGCAGCCGCCCTTGCCGGTGATTCTTAAGTACCCCCTAAGTCGGTACCAAAACATGCCAAAGCTGCAGGACCTGTGTCGGCGTGTCCTCCAGCGGCAAATGAGTTCCGAACAGCTGGCCAACCTGCCAGTGCCAGTGAAAATGCGGGAATACTTGTCCGTAGAGCGCGAGTTGGTCTTTCAAAGCTAAGTACAGGTTGCTGCAGAGCATCTGCTGGTTATAGCTTTAAAAAACGGAAGGGAAACGAAGGCAAACATGTAAACCAAAGAGGGTGACAGACAGTTAATGATATTTATTGGGATTGTGTTGCTTGAAATGAATTCAAAGCAACACATAAGCAAAAGCAAATGCAGATTCAATGTTGGCCATATGTATGTTTTTTGATGCATTTCTCTTCGCTCCAAAGTTACTAAGCGCACCGAATTCTTTACGGATGTACTGTACTGTACGTGCACAAGCCGAGTGTGGTGTGTATGCTTTTACTGTATTTGATATAATGATAAGTAACACGCCCAACCGTATCTAGGATACGAGCATACCTATGCCTATGCTATATACTATATACTGCATATATGTGTATATGTTATTGGCCAAATCACTCAATTGATTAGTTTTTCATGGGTCTTGGTCAAATCTGTACTATTCTGTACACAAACAGATACCTAATATTTGTAAATTCAAGACACTACACATGAATGTATTAACCTTAGCCTTAAGTCAGACTCTGATATTGTATTGTACGTACAAGTATTCGCATTTTTTTGATTCCTAGCGTCGACACAAACAAATCTTTTCACTAATCTAGATATGGTTGCACATAACAGAATTTAGGAAGCTTGACATCTATTTAAATCCAATTACTCTTGTTACAATGTGTGTGTATTTTATTAAAAACTATAAGAATATATCGAATAACTCATTGAATGTATTGCTGTCTACCGAGTTCGCAAATAAAAACGAAACCAAATATACAAGAAAATCACATTCGCTTGTAGTTATTTGATGGTATATTTTATGTTGATTCTAAATCCACGCTATCCCCGCCATCCTCTGGGGTCTTTCCATCCTCGTTCATGGCCTCGGGGCGATCATATATGCGATAGGCCTTGAATTGGCCCACCTTCTCGCCGTTCACATAGTGGAAGCTGAGGAAGCATCTGCGGCACAGGTATGAGGGATCGTGCAGCTGACGCAGTGACTTCTCGACAATGAACTCGTAGCCACGAAGGCCGCACATATAGCAGCTGCGTCGATTATAGTTGTTAATGGCGCGCACATATGGATAGAGGCTGTGGTCCAGGAGGTGGCCGCCGTTGGCTGGCAAGACCTCAATTTGTGAAAAAACAAACAGATGCTCGCAATTTCCATGGTGCAGGTAGTGCAGAGGTGCGCCCGGTCTCACAGTGAGGTCGATGATTCGTGTGCTTTCCATATTTTCCACCTTGAACTGTTCGCCCTGCAAGCCCTGCGCCTTCGCGGCCCATTGGAGCACTGTCTCCGAGTAATCGCAATTATCCGGATTCCGTTTGTCGTTATAAAAGGTATCATAGATGAAGAAGTAGCCCGGATTTGTTTCAAGAGTTGGCAAAGGCGCATCTGGATCCTTACTTATGTCCACGAAACGCTTGCCATTGCAGATGCAAAAGATCTTGTCACGCAGCTCCGTGAGATATGTGCTGCCAAGGCAGACAAATTCCTCGGCAAACACAGGACTTTCCAGCTTCAGTCCTCGGTGCGTGGCACGTGCCGGCCGATAGAAGCGGACTGTAATCAGTAGTTCGGGTGATTCGAGTAGCCTGGCCCCGGGAACACTATTATTCCCGGATGGCGGTGGGACTAGTCTGTAACTGAATTGGGTGCGTCCAAAGGAATTCTTGCGAGAGTTTTCCTTGTGCACGCTAAGGGCTGTGTAGAGCTTGGGCACATCCCGGTCGGTCATTGGTTTTACTAAATTTGAGCGAACGATTTCAGCGCCGGGCTGAAAGGGATGGATGCAGTTTTCGTCTGGCGAGGAAATCAGATCTAATGAGCAACTTTTCTCCACATCCACGGACACCGGCGAGGTAGGTGAAAAGAAAAACGGCACTTCCTCTGTCTCGCCAGTTGCCTTGGGCAGTTTTTCTTGGTAATCGGATAGAAAAGAGCGTAAATGTATAGGTCGTTCCAGCGTCTCGAGATAAATTTCCATGATGCTAAAATGAGAAAATCAAAAGGTTATAGTTGATCCGTGTGTCGGAAGGGGGACTCCATCTGACATACCACTCTTAATGCTCCTCTCCGAACTTGTTAATAGCTTCCTTATAGTTGATATTCAGCTTCGTTTTCGGCGGCGTTTCTGTTTCTTCGGTAGTGGTATCTGGCACCTTTGTTGATTTTTCAGGATCTGGCGGCAAATTCTCTATGTAAACCCGCTCAAAGGAAATGACTTTGTCAGACTTATCCAGATACTGATACTTTTGTCGACAGGACGACTCGAAAAGCGGGTCAGCCGGCGAACGATCCGTGGCTTTTTCGAAAAACACATTTGTTCCCAAGGAGTGCTCGTAGGTGCCTTTGTAAATGCAGCCATTTACCTCCGCCAAGGGGCTGTCGCTTTCAACTCCTATAATTTTAATGGCAGAATTCTCGTGCTTCAGCAGGTGAGGTGGTAATTGGTTTTTAAAATCCGCAAAAACCAAGTACTCGCTTTCCTCGTACTCAGAATCAGAATCATTCATAATTTTATTCTGAATTTTGCGCATATTATTCCAACAACATTACACATGCCATGATTGGAAGGTTGATATTCACCGATTTGGATATTCGGTTCGCTATTATTAGCGAGCTAGGACCCTCAACCGTGAAAATATAATTTTCTTCGATAAATTTTCTACTACAATATTGGCCAATTGTGCTCTTTTTTATTGGATTCTATCTATAATATGCTTAAACATATTACTCAGATCGACGAAATTGTACACAATATAAGATTCTTTATGTGTTAATTACACGATTTGCTACGTGGCAACTACACAGGGATGAAACTCGAACAGGGACACCTGTAAGTGTGTCGGAATATATTCGATATACTCGATATATCAACAACGAGCAACCCTAGCAACGAGGCCGAACGAATATAATTTCGGTGGCAAAATTTTCGTGTGTTCTTTTTGAAAATAATAACAAATTGCGCATTTTAAAACTGAGGGAAATAGTAGTTTAGCCTGTTAACAAACGTAGCAGCACATCCAACAAGAATCGTTTCTCGGAAATCTACAAATAATATTTTGTACAGTGCGTGCGTCGAATAGACTGGGCAGCGGCCATTTTGAGCAAAGGCAAAACGTCAGCACCCTTTGTACACTTTTCCTACGTGAGTTATGAATTGCTAAATCGACACGCCGTGTAAAGTTTTTCTGGCATTGTGCAATACTTTCGAGCAATGAACTAACTAACAAGTGAATATTTGTGTCCAAAGATTGCTAATTTAATTTTCTCTCACTCTCTCGTTTGCGGCCGCGCCGCCCTCTCTCAATATCAGTGAGCTACGATAAATACCGCACTTTAGAAGCCGCCGAGAGCTTTTACGCTTAGAGTGAAAAGCTTGCTGAACGTAAACAAAACCAAAAACCACTCACAAAAATTAGCAAAATGGCTGATGAAGATATCTCATTGAACGAGGACCAGCTCTTGGAGTCGATGGAAGAGACCAATGGCGAGCAGGAGACTGAAATTGTGACAGAGACTGAGGTAAGTGGGGTTCGTTCGGAGGAGCCAAACGAGTTTTGTATTCGTTTTGCAAAAGCACAGAGTTTCTCGGGAAAAGCTTTTGGCGGCACAAAGCTCAAAGCCAAAACGGCAGCCATTTTCGAAGCGTCGTTGCGCGTCTCCCCATTCATTGTCTGCAAAGTTTTGGGCGTTCCAGAAGTATACTCTTAATACAGCTAACCAATTTGCATTATTCCCATATTAAACAATTGTGCAACAAAGGAGGAAGGCAGTATGCAAATCGACCCCGAGCTAGAGGCTATCAAGGCCCGTGTCAAAGAGATGGAGGAGGAGGCAGAAAAAATCAAGCAAATGCAGTCCGAAGTGGACAAACAAATGGCCGGTGGATCCACAACCGGTCTTGCTGCAGTGCCGCTTTCCCTCGAGGAGAAGCAGGAGATCGACACGAGGTCCGTCTATGTGGGGAATGTGGACTACGGAGCATCTGCGGAGGAGCTCGAAGCACATTTTCATGGATGCGGCACCATCAACCGTGTCACAATCCTGTGTAACAAAGCTGACGGCCATCCCAAGGGCTTTGCCTTCATTGAGTTTGGCTCAAAGGAGTTCGTTGAGACGGCCCTGGCCATGAACGAAACCCTGTTCAGAGGTCGACAGATCAAGGTGAGAGAAAGCTTCCTCATGACTCATTTCGAGTATTGGGAATTATTTTGACATTTTTCTGATTTTATGTCTGATTCCAGGTCATGTCAAAGCGCACAAACCGGCCAGGCCTTTCCACCACAAACCGCTTTGCCCGCGGCAGCTTCCGAGGGCGAGGAGCTCGTGCCTCAAGGGCTTGCTGCCATTCCACCTTCCGAGGCGCACGTCGAGCAATGTAAGTGTGGCATTGCCAACCATACAGCCGTTCCCCCGAGTGGAGTGCGCTAATTCCGGTCTGTGTTTCGTTTCAGAAGGGGTTACCGCGGCCGTGCCAACTACTATGCTCCCTACTGATAATTGTTAAATAGAACCCACTAGTAAGGTAAGTCCACCATTTCAATCCGGACTCGTGCGAACCGAACACCGAACTGAAACTCTGAACAGAAACTGTGCTAACTTTGGGGGGACTACTTTCCACTTTCCACTTGGCAGTGGCCGATACTATTCGTATAGTATAATTGTATGTTACGTGTATATGGACCGACTGATAGATATTACCTGATCAATGCCAAAGCCAATGCCTGCAGCCTGCATGGGGCGACTGATAATGCGTGCATTTGCTATGACCACACTGAATATTTCTTTAATACAATCAATGTTTGATTTCAGATTTTTTTACCAATTTATTTCAAAAAACATTATTTTATTGCCAAACTTCTTTGCTAAATAGAAAACAAATAAAATAGAAAAGAAAAGAGAAAACAACCCAAACAAGAGAAAATGCCAGAAAAAAATTAATAAGAATTGTTTTAATAATAATTTAAAAAAAGAACAGCGGCAAGCAAATATATTTACAAAACAGGCGAAAAAGAAGAAAACAAAATCTACAAAAAAAATCAACATGGACTTGGCTATAATGTTTTTTGAAGCACCCAACACCAAACACCCCTCTTTTCATATATTTTTATTTTCAAATAAAAAATCAAAAACCGAACGAAAATAAATCAAGATAATCCAAACAAAAAAAGCATACAACTCGAGAGAAGTGGAGAAAATATATATAAAAGAGAACCACAAGCGAAAAGAAAAGAAGTTAAAAGATGGCAAAAACTCGAGTAAAAGAAGGATGAAAAAATTAAAATGCAATAGACTAAAAGACGACAAAATACTTGGAAAATAAATAAAATGAAAACCACAAAATAGATAAAAGAGAAAAATAATGAAATTACCGGTCTTACGTTTATATATTCGAAAAAAAATATATAGAGTAAAGAAAAGAAAATATTGCATTTTTCTGTCAAGAAGAAGAAACAAGATGACAAATATAAACGAATTAAACAAGCAAGCGTTCACGCCTTTCCTTTGGGCGGGACAAATTTGGGAAATAAAACCCTGCTCCTCCATCAGCCAGCCAGACAGCCATCCAGCTAGAAGAAGGAGCAGCAGCAGCAGTAGCTGTGCCGCAGCCAGACCAGTCAGCAGCAATATCAAACAAATAAATTATTCAAAACATGTTAAAGAAAAGAATAAAGGATACTTCATTTTCATTTAAGCACTTTATTATATGGCTTTTCTTTCAATTGTAGAAACTGCAGAGCCCGAGAAGGCCGTTCGGGATTGCTAGATTCTAAGATTGGACGGCGTGTCCAAGGTCCTAGTTCTTCTGGACGGCAGCCTGAACCAGGGGCAAGTTCTTGCCCAAGAAGCACTTGAAGCCACGGAAGGCCCAGGCGTTGGCGCTAGACTTCTGCTCGTTCTTGTCGGCGCACTTCTCGATGTCGGCCTTCAGCGCTGCCTTATCCTCCTTGCCCTGGCCCAGCTGGGCCACCAGATTGTCGATCTTGAACCCCTTGGTGTCGTCGAACAGATCGAACTTGTGGAAGATGCACTGGATGTAGCTGCGGGTGATCTCATCGTCGGGATACTCGAACGTCTTGTACTTGGCCACCAGCGCCTCAGTCACCTTGTTGGCCTCGCCGCACTCCTTGCGGACAGTCTGCAGATCCTCTGCGGTGCGCAGTTTGTACTCGTCGGCGGCAGAAGCCTGTGTTATATGGGGGATTAGGGATTAGCGGATAAGAGCTCCCTCTCTCCGTCATCATTAGATGCTACTCACCAGACCGATCACGGCGCATAGCAAAATGGCAACGGCGTTCTTCATGTTTGCAAAGTTTTTTTTGTTCTTTAAGATTGGACTCGGCTTAGAATTGGCTGCTTGCTGTATGCTCTCCAAGTGGAAACTGTTGTCTGTGGACTGCCGGGCTCCATCTTTTATACCTTCGCCGCGTGTGGACGCTGACGCCGACGCCTCTGCCGCACTCAATTGTGGGGGCGGCGATTTTCGAGTGGCGCTCAATTGAGTTGCACTCGCTATGAATAATTTAAGCCTCATTATGGAATTTTTCTCCGTTGAATTAGAGCTCAACTAAGGAGGCTATAACCTGGACATATCGCATATATAGATAGAGATTAATTAGTTAGGGATTCCTAGGGCTATTCCTAGCTGTCTCTGAGCAGCACAGAAGCCGATTCTCCCAATTATTGGTTGACCCTGTCGCCGAGATCATACATAAAGACCAGGCTTCTGAATGAGTGGGCTTACATGTAACCTATAACATATTTGAGCACTGGGTACACGCAGCCGCTATGCAGCATGTGCATAAATGTACATTTCGTTTTTAGAAATTAAATCAATTGCAGGCATCTACCGAGAAATAACTAATTGCAATTAATTCTCGGTATGCCTCATCCAGAGTATCGTAGTGCCGTAGAAGGATGGCCGATCAGCTGTTTTTTGCCCCCCTGTCCCTGTTGGAGCATTATTATCATAAACAGAGAAATCTGTGGTCTGCAGTGGGGCTACAGCTAAATCTTCCTACTTACGAGTACTTAGCATAGGCGTCGGCTGTGATAAAGGGGGGACTAGTAGAAAGTTCCAGAATATAAATACTCAATGACCCCAGTAAAACCAAAGTAAGGCAGAAACGTCGCCCAGCGGACCGAGGGGCCCTGCCGCATGACGCGCGATTCCTAAGAACAACATCTGTAGGGTAGGAAAATTAAAACTAAACTGAACCAAAAGAGCATTCTGTTTACGAATTTGGGACCCTCCTCACGAATTCTATGGCTAAGCCACTGAATTTGTGGTCAGACGACCATTTGTGTCACTTAAAGTGTCCACTTTGTGGTTTATGTATGCCTTTGTATGCCAATATGATGCTGGGATGCTGGATGATGGGTACCGTCTACCGTGCATTAAATGAGCATTAATTGAATTGGCAAAATTACGCTACCAAATGAAATCTGCCCCCCTATGAGGCTCCTGCAAAACGCACACAGAGCATTCCCTCACCCCATCATAGACGAGTTGTGGTGGTCTGGCCGTCGATTTCTGCACCCACATTTCAAAATTTTCCACTGCAATTTGAGTTTTTCATGGGAACTGGCGACAGAGAGACGACACTGTGGTGCCTGCCGGCCAGGGCATAATCAGCTGTAGATCAGGTGTCTGTCTTTTCTCTGGAAACGTACCAGACCCAGACCCAGACCTAGAAACAGGAATAGGAATAGGACACGTTTGTTTAAATTTGAAGCATTTATTTGTATTGAATCACACTATTAATTAGATTAGGCATATTTTAATATACTCGTATATAATAGGTAAGGTATAAAGCATAGTTTTCAGAAAAACTCCAAATAAAAACCGTCATCACAATAAACTAATTTTAAATGATCACATACGGAACATAATGAAATCATAAATCACAACTCCAGACCGGCATTTGGAATACACATTCTTTTTATATTCCATCTTATTAAACTCTAAGAACTTGCACGAGTCTGAAAGGAACTTACAGTAAGGGTACAGCATATCTAATTCTTTATCAAATAAGGAAACTCAAACAAGGCGAAATGGCGGGTTGCGTATGGGGATCTTGAATCCTTGCTAAGCTTATACAAACGACATATCGATACTCGTATTTTTGGTAAGCACATCTAGAATTTGAAGCTAGGTAAATCAATTTCAAATGGATCCACGTGCTATATAGTTTTATAGTTGCACATATAAATATATATATATATAGTATGTATTGGGGGTATGAATCTATTTATGTTATGTTAGTGGTGTATGATCTACTTCTCGGGAATGGGTCGCAGTGTGGCTTTATCAACGTTAGGGCTCGGCGGTACCAGCGCCGTCTCCAGCTCGGGTATAACCAGGTCGGGTATGGGGTCGCGCCAGTAGTTGAAGTTGGAGAATTCAGTGGCGGCCTCGTCGAGCTTCACCGGGGGAAATAGCTGATCCACAATGTACGTCATGCTGCAGTATCTGGAAGAACACGTGTCAGAGAGACGGATCGGATGAGTGGGGTAACTATGATAGCGCTACTGCTGCAGGAGCCCCCAAGCAGTTGGTAAAGGGTGATCGAGAGGGTGACTTTGTGCGCCTCCCAAGAGTATGCAACCGCATGGGAGCATGGGAGCGTGATCGGGCGCCTCAGCCTGTGCTACGATTTATAGATATTGCAATTACGTGCCCGCCTGGGCTAGGCGTGTGTACAAATGAACAATATATGTACATATTCCTGATCTCCATCGAAATACGGAGCCTTGGTGCACCTAAAACTCATGCCACATTTTGCGCAATCGATTCGAAGCCACCAAAAACAAATGTTTCCATCACTGCGAACATATTGATATCGTTTATTGGGTATATGGCTATAGATATAGTAGGATAGGACTATATCCAAAAGGTACTTTTCGTTCCGCTCTTCTTCCTTAAAGCTAAACATTTAGGCCTGCTGCTGCTGAGCAAAATACTTTCAAAACTTACGACTGGCCCGAGAGCTTCGCCCCCCGGCACTACTACACAACAAACATGGGACACGGACACTCCTAATAGCTCTCTCAGAAAACTCTTATCACAATTCATTCATCATCATTTCATTCCAGCTGCCCACAACCTTCTAAGAAGGACTAGGGCAGGGTTCTGGTTATGGTTACATGGTCTAGGAATCCAGCCACGTTAGGTTGCCGTGTGAGGGCAGCAAGGCCACTTCGTTCTTGGTCGACACACGGCGGCTTCGCATAATGATGATGTCATCTGCCAACTGCTCGGCAAAATCATCATCGTAATCATCATCGTCGTCATCGTCACTCAGATCGGGCTCTGCATCCACATCGTAGTCATCGCTAAACTGTAGTTCGTCCTCCAACTCGTCGTCGTCGAACACATCCGTGCGGTACTCGTACTCATCATTGTGGGTGAGCAGGGGAAAGTACTCGTCGACTTCTAGCGACTGATTGATGTAGCCACTGTATAAATTTGACAACCGAAAAATGCTTGAATCGATCGATTGATTGATTGATTGATTGATTGAGTAAAGTGCGGCTGAGAAGGAGGAGGAGGGCAGTATAATGAATACAACACTACACAGTCAGGAGAGGAGGAGAGGAGGATACATTCAAACGCGTGTGGAGATCTTGAGGCGACACCTGGCGGTACATGATGGAGTTAATACGATCGATTGGCTTTTGGTTATCGTTATCGTGATTATCGCTTGCATTATCGAATGTGTGGCATGAGTTTTTCAGTTATCAGTTATGGGGAAAACACCGGAACCATATATGTGTATGTACATATGCAGATACATGGGAGATACAAGCTAACAGATACAGATCTGTAGTCCGCCCGCTACTTACGAGGATTGGAATGTTTGGGTCAGTTCGTGCTTCAGCTCGCCCTTGGTGTTGATGGTGAAGATGCGCATTATAGGAATGCCCACAGCCCGATAGGCCCAGACATCCTGCAAATAGATCAAATGGTGGGGTCAGCTGCCACTGACACTGATGGGGCTCCATGCACTTACATTGATCCGGTTGCCGTAGCCGGCGTAGAAGGGCTCTTTTTCGGGGAAGAGATCCCGAATGTCCGACAGGCAAGCGATCTTGAACTGCTCCGGCTTCTTCTCGATAACCTCGCGATGGAATGCCGATATCAGGGAGGTGGGATTCAGCAACAGAGGCCCATCGGGCAGCTTCACATTACCCTGCCTGATCGAGCGCAGATACTCGCGTGTCAGTCGGGACTGGCCGATGGCACGGGCCGACAGGTAAAGCAGCTTATAGCCGTTCTGCTCGATCTTCGAGAACAACTGTGCCACTCCCAGTTGGGCCCAGTCCTTGCCGACCATCGGCAATATGTGGCCCAGCACATCGGACCTGGTAATGGTCCCATCAATGTCCGAGATCACCACCTTGTCGTTGTGCTTCCAGCGGTACAAGTAGCACTTGCAGCGCGACGTTCCCTGGTAAGCAGTCGTCACGCTGAACTCGATCTCGTTTGTGCCCTCTTTAAGGTTTAGTTTTTTCTGCGAATGGAGGAAGACGGTTAAGAGTCTGCTATGACGCTCGGGCGTAACTCGAGTTCTTACAATGGCTGCCGAGCTAAGGCGCAGGGATTTCTTGTAGCGCTCCTTGGGTTCATCGCTCTTGTTTGTGGCGCCAGTCAGCTCCTCGAGGTTGTCGACCAGCGCCGAGGTGTTCTCTGCATTCTCTGCCAGAGAGTCGCTCTTGCTTGGCGTCGGCTCGCTATTGTCCGTGGGGGAGAGTGGTCGTGATGTTTGCGTGGCTACAGCTGCAGCATTATCACCATCTGAGGGAAAGGAGAATACAAATTCCAATTCCACGGTCAGTAGGGGGGCTTCAGGATCTTACCTTTCTCGTCTTTGCTGGGGGCTAAGTCGTGGCTGACACGGTTAGGCGCCACATCCTGTGGGCGCCTCCAGCTCCACCAGTAGCGCTTTGTTTGACCCGCAGGCCCGGCCTGGGCAGCTTCGGGCATTTCCTGCTTACCGCCCTCGCCAGTTTGCGACATGAGCTGTTCAATGGCATCCTGAGGAGCAGAGCAGAACAGAGTGGAGTGGGAGAAACATTAGCAGAGCAAGGAGCAAGAGCAGGAGACTCACACAAAAGAGGCTGGACAGTGAGACTTACTTCGGTTAGTGGCTTCTGGAAGGCAATCATTGTCATTACAATGGGGCATGCTGCCGTCCAGGGATAGTATTTGCCATTTAAACGTACGACTAGGTTTGGCGATGAGAACAGACTGGGGTTTGCGCATACCTGCTCGGGCATGGCACGGCACAACATAGGCACAGGCACAGGCATTGGCATTGGCAATTCGTATGAGGGCATGGCATGGGAAAAGATGTAAAGACTTGTTAAACGATGCAACAGGCAATGAGGCGGTGCAGGTGCAGGTGCAGCAGTGATGTGCAGCGTAGTCGAACACAGAGCACAACGGAGATACTTACGTCCGGGTAGCTGACCAGATGACGGTCAAAGTCCTCCTCCGAGGGGGGGCCTCCGTGCTCTGGCATGCCAGTCATGGACATGGCCACAAAGTCCAAATATCTGCAACACAAAAAGAATGGCGTCTAATTAGTCTCTGAACGAGTTTCCTTAGCGGAAAACTCCTACTTTTTGTCACGCTGCTGTTTGTTTTCATCAAAGTCCGAGTCCATACTCTTTTGACCCTCCTCCAGGGAGCTGGGCGAGTGTGGCAGGCTGGTGCCGTTGCCGCTCTCCCGATCTTCCTCCAGGATCGTGGCTGTCGAGCCCTCCTTCAACTTGGAACTGGGAAAATAGAGGGCCGCCATCTCCGGATCCATGGATTCGTTCAAGTCGGATAGATATATGTCTCCCGCCTCGTTGCCGACCTCTTTGCGCAGCCGATTGGCCTTCTTCATGAAGCTAAACACGTTGCTGAGCATCGATTGTCGATCAACCTGCTGTGCATCGGCTTCATTGATCGACTCCGTTTTGGCCTGGTCGGGCAGTTCGCCCCAATTCCAATTGGCAGCGGTCTGGTCGAATTGGCGCTGATCCCGTGCCCGTATCGTTGTCTCCAGCTCGCTATCGCTCTGAAAGGGGCTGGGGGGACGGTTGGTAGCGCCGCCCGATGGCCCAGTGATCTCTGTATCGCTGAAGAAGTACATATCCAGGTCTAGACGCTGCTTCGCCGTTGGGTTTGCGATTGCCTTGGGCTCGTCGTCCTTCGCGCTGTCGATCCCGGTGTGGGCCGTGAGCAGTGAGGCTGAGGGAAGCTCGTCGTTGGATGAGGAGTTGGCCGAGTTGTTGGCGGCGATGATCGCCACGGCGGTGGCGGGGGCGGTGGCATCGCCCTCATCAATGTTGTCCACTGTCGCCACGCCCTCCTTGGTGGTGGTGACGTCGCCGCCGGCAGCGCTACCCACAGAACTGCTCGAGGAGTTTTTCCGCTGTGCATTCTTCTTCATCTGCGTCTTCTTGCGCCGCTTCTTGGTCTTGCTCTTGGACACATCTTTGACGACCTCGCTGGCCGCCACCGAAGACACGGTAATATCGGCTTTGGGCTGCTCCTTTTCCTTCTCCTTTTCCACTTCCTCCCCCGCCTCGGGCTGCCTATCTTTTTCCAGCTCTGCTTCTGCTGGCTTCTTCTCGCTCTTCTCCTGGAAGAGCTCCTCGTGCTCCGCCCACTCCTGACGTATCTTCTGTGTGGTGAACTCCTTGAGCTTCTCACTCAGATTGCGCCGCTCCAGTGTATTGTCTGTGTGCCTTTTCGGGATTACAAGAGATCAAATGGTTATTTTGGTCTGCTCAACCGGATGCCAAGAGAGATACGGAAAGCACTTGTCTACCTGCGCTTCGTGTAGTCAGAGGCCTGATTCTCGAAATGATTGCCATCTGCGGCCGCTTCCTTGGGCTCCTCCTTGGAGAAGTCAATGGAGTTGCGTCGCGGCAGCGGCAAGGGAATCTGCAGCTCCTCGCTAGCGTTTCTAAAATGGGTTGGCAAATGAATCTAGCGCTGGTGGGAATCTGCCGTGGGCTTTGGGCTTCACTTACTTGTCGGCTGTCACACCGCTGATGTCCTCCATGGTGTCGTTGCCGTGCTCCCGCAGATTCATGAAGCTCAAGGGTATGGGCGATGTGGCCAGATTCGCTGGCAGCTCATCGTCGTCATCCTCGAGGCATTCCTCCACAAAGAAGGCCTCGCCGGCGTCGCCCAACTTCATCTGAATGTCCACGGGGGCGCCATTGATTTCGATATCCACCTGTGGAGAGGCCATGCCATCGATTGTCTTATTTCCAGTTCCAGAGTTCAAATATTTGCGATCTACTTACCACCTTCTCGCGACTGCGCAGCACACCCATCTTGCCGAAGCGCACATGGAAGGGCGAGCACTGGAACTCCCCGTCCTTCTGCTCCACCACGATCACATCGATGGCCCCCGTCAAGGTTGCCGCATTGATCTCGCTGTAGAAGTCCCGGAAGTTGCTAAAGACGCGCGCCAGGCTGTTCATCTTTGATCTGATTTGGTTTCCTTTCCGTTCCTTTTGGGTGATTAGGCTGATTTGGCAATTCCTCGTTCTCCTCCCCTTTCTTTGTGGTTGGCCTTGTTCTAATCTTCTTGTCTAATCGCAATCGCACCTAAGAATGTGTTGCTTCTGCTGTTTTAGTGTGTTCCCTGTAGAGTTTTATATGGGGGCCATTTTTATTGGAAGGCGGTCAAATACGCCGCTTCTTGGCGGTGGACTTTGCACACTAAACTCTCGCTGAATTGCGGCAACTGTAAAATGGCATTGCAAGATTGAAAATATGAGTAATCTGCACCGCTTATTTCTGACATTTGTTCCCCCGTTGGCAACGCGTTCACAGTGCCTTTTGAAAATAGACAAATTGCATCAGAGTGCAAGTGCATCCCGTCCTTTGGCTGTTGAAACCGCAACAATGCCCACAGAAACAGAAGAACTTTTGCATTCAATTATTTTTAGCTTTTTTTTTTGTCTTTGTTTCTGCTTAAAGTGCTCAAAGTCAAGGCGTGTTTGAATGGATAGGGGGGTGGATGGGTGGTAATGGGAAGGCAAACATACAAAAGCCACATCCCGCCATCCACAGGGGTGCTGCATGCGCGAGGTGGAGGGGACAGCACAGCCTTTGTTTAATCATGTATTGCGAGGCAAGTTCAAGGTAGGACCCCGACGACCGACCGCTATTATTATGCCATCTGTGGCAAAACTATTTATGATTACCGATTTATGAGTGTTCGTTCGTTCCCATCGAATTGGTGTTGTAAAAGCCCCTCTTATCAGCTGTGGTCACCGATTCCAGTATTCCAGTGAGTGGCGTGATAAAACATGGAGTAAGTAGCGTCAGAGCAGGGTAGGGTCCCCACCTCTGCTCCATGTGTTCCTGCGTGTGTATTAATCATAGCACAGCACGGAAAACATCATGCGACGTACACATCACATCGAATAAATGAATCTACGTTCACACAAGAAGCAATGAGCGAAAATAGCGAGACACTCAAGCACGGGAATGGAGTTCAATGTCCATCAAGCCAACCGAACAGAACATTTGAACAATGGTTGTACTTTCCAGCTAACAATCTGGCAAAGATTAATGCCAAATCAGAATGATAAGCGAAATTCCATTCTCAAAAATGCTACTTCTTATGCATATACTCGATTTTGAGCTGTGCTCCCGAATCACTGGATGCGAGATCAGACATCACAGCCGATCACGCCATCTGTCACGCGTTGTGGGCCCTGCCTCACTTTCACCTGCGAAACTGCAGAGCAAAGCCAAACAACATTCGATGGAAATGGAAAGAAGCCCAAGGAAAACGCATCCCGAAGCACCGTAATTACACAATTTTTAGAGAGAATCGGGCGGGGGGGCTATAACAAAACTTTAACAGAAATGTAGCAGACAAAGGCCAAGGCACTCATTCGTTATCCATTCAGAGAACGGACGACAAAGGAGTCGCATTTCGACTCTGACACAGCTCTGACTCAATTCCAGAAGATAAAGAAGTTTCAAATGCAGTACGAGATATTGCAACTTTTGAAAGCTCGCCTAGTTTTTTTCTGTTTGAAACTGATCAAATCGCGCTGCCAACGGTAATCACATGCCCAGAGTTCAGTGTTTATTTGAGTTATATTATTTGTAGGGGTCTGGTCTGGGGTTCTGTTGAGTCACGATCAAAGTCCAGAAAACACTCGGAGGAAATCAGAAGGCAAGCGAAAGAGACGCGCGCGCGCGAGCAAACAAAAACAAACGCGGGGCCCAAAGTCTAATAGAATAGAGGTGCTTGCTTGCCAAGAATTCTGTGGCCGACCCGAATGCAGACGTATGTTCAACGTTCTCGAAGCCATCTCTAGTATAATGGAAATTTTATTTCACTTATTCGCTACACATGTCATATGCAGTGCGCCACTACACTACACTACCTTGCTTTCGATGTGTATGAAATATTTTATTATGGTTTCAGTTCAGTTTTCAGCAGCAGCAGCAGTGTGTTTGTTGAGGTGCCCTTGAAAACACTAGCGAGAAACTATCACAAGTCTCACTCTATTTCCTCCAGCACTCGACTCTTTGGCGTTCACTTGACAGACAATACAATAATCGTGTGTTTCTTGTATTTTCACAATGTTTTTGGTGGTGTTCTCTGCTGCTGTACTGTTGTTCCGTGTAGTTGCTTTTGGGTTTAGTTGTTTTTAGTTGTTGCTCCGACGACTGCTGGGGCAGAACTGAGCGACGAAAAAGTTAAACTAATCGAATTAAGTACCTGCTTGTGGAGGGGCCATCGAGAGCGAGAGAGAGAGCAGTGTTATTTAAGAGCAAAAGCTCGCCTTGGGGGCAAAAACAAAACAGGTAAAACCGGAAAGTCATGTAACTTGTAGTTGTTGCTATGGCTATGCACAAGCACATATATGTATGTATATATAAGTATATAAAGCAGCTGCTTTATTCACTCTCCCTCATCTCTCTCTCATGTCTGACTTGCTGCTCTCTCTCTCTCATCGTCTCGTTTCCCTCGACTTAATAACTGTGCTTATCAGCTGCTCGGTCGCAGCTGTTCATGTTTTGGCATTTTGTTGTTGCTATTGTTGCAATCGAGAGAGCTTTTTCTGCATGTGTTCTCGTAATTCACTCGTAAACAAATTAAAGCGTGTCGTTTTTCGGGTGATCTGGTGATGTACGTCACTTCCAGTTGTTTACAGGGTACCACACCACCACACTATTACCTTGATCTCCGATTATACAGGAAATGTTCCACTTATACGAATTATACAATCGTTGAGCAATAGAATTCGACTACTAATGAGTCCACGAAACAGCGCGGCCGGCCCATGGTCAAAGCATGTTTAAAAAGAAAAGAAGAACCATCCAAATTCGTCACCGTTTCGGACCGTGGAATATTTTCACAGAGTGTCCGTCTGTCCGTCCTGGCCGTCTACAAATTGCTGATGTGTGCCAACAAATGATGGACCACGCCTACGAGGCGCAAAGGTTCATGCTTGTATTTATGAATAAAAGAATATATGTAATTTTAAAATGTTTAAGCGAATCCAAAAATCAATACTACAAAAACTGATAAATAAAGCCAAGAGGAAGGTGATTTTTCATAATTTAAATAATTTAAATTTATTCATAAAACGAAACGATTAAATAATAAAACTACTGAATATATAGTAATTAAACGTATGGTATGCAAAAAATATGTACATTGAAGAAACTTGTACAAAAAATATACTATAGATAGCTCCGACCTTCCCTTCCTTCGTGTAAAGGAATATAAATAATAAATACTTTATCGTGATACAAATACAAAATAATTGGCAAAGGCAGACAACACATGCAGGCTATATGGATATGATATAGTAACTCAGTTTTAATCAAAACATATTTTAATGATAATAGCAATAGTTAAGAACAACAGAAAAGGCTCTTCTGCATGGGCTTGGCTTGGGCTCTTAGTTTCTCTAATGGTTTCTGTGTGTTTTCTTTTTATTGGTTCCTAAACAAGTCAATAGTCAATATAAAATGCATGCGCACAGTTCCCGATTCCCAACCTTCGGGTCGGGCCGGCCCCTACTTGGGGCTGGTCGTGGACTTGCGGCGGGCATCCGTTATAGCACCCCAGAGTTCGATGATGAAGTCGTCGGTGAAGCCAAAGGACTCGAGGTCTGAGTTGTCAATGGACTCGGCAAAGTCCATTGAGTTGGACTTTTTGTCGCCCAAATCCCAGATCTGCGACGCCAGCTCCGTGTCGTTGATGCCCATGAAGGACTCGAGCAGATTATTGATGGCATCGATCCCGGCCACCGTGGCCTCGTCGAACTTTGGCTCGATCTGTGCATTTCCGTTGGCCTTGAAACGGAGCGTCTCCTTGCCACTGCCGTAGTTTCGTCCACCGCCGGCGCTGCCCGTGGCCCGGGACTGGCTGCGCGGCCCAATTCCCTGGAAACCGCTCCGCACGGGCTCCACCAGCCGCAGCGTGAAGGTATCGCCCGTGGGAATGTCCTTGAGCATGCGAGCCACCTCGTAGTGCCGCTTGCCCACCATATTCTGGCCATCAAGCTTCTCGATGTGATCGCCCACACAGATGTGCTCGATGCGGTCGATGATCGAGTCCTCCTTGATGCGCTTGATGAAGGCGTAGCCGGCCCCATTGTCGGTGATGGTCAGCCCGAGGGCCTCCTGCGACTTGACAATCTCGATCTCCTTCGGCCGGCCCTTGCGGTGGGCGAATATGAAATCATCCAGCCCTATCTGGCCCCCCAACAGCCGGGCCATGTCCACCTTGTGCGAGTTGAGCGTACAGAAAAGAATGTCCTTCTCCGAGATGTCGAAACACTCGGCGATCTTCTGGTACAGCTCCCGCACGCTCGAGAAGTCGTGGATGAGCCCCGTGGGGCTGCCGTGGGCCAGCTGGCAGTGGAACACCAGTGGGGGCTTCGAGTAGTCGGGACTGCTGTTATTGTTGTTGTTGTTATTGTTGTTCTGAATGGTGGCGGGTCCGCCAGAGGCACGCCCCTTCCCCCCATCACTGTTGTTGCTGTTCTGTGAGGCATTATCTGCGGCAGATCCCGGCTTGGTGGTTTTCCTCGTGAAGAGCGGCATGACTGGCGGTGGTCCCGGTCCTGGTTGCTCCGAAATGTCTGCGATTGTATTGTTTTGTATGATCCTCTGGCATGTACAGAATCGAGTCCTTGTATCCTTGTATCCTGTTACCTTGCTCTTGGATCTGTGTGCGTAGAAAAAGGTGTGGAATCTCTTGGGATTAGGCGGATTAGGATTCAATGCTTGTTTGTAGTATGTAGTTGATGCTATATTCTGATGTGAGTAGTAGTAGTAGTTGTTGTTGTTTTTGTTGCAGGTTGTTTACAGGTTAGTCAAAGTGATTGGGCGACGTTTATACAAAGTGCACACTGTACAGTAAAGTACCTATAACCATAGCCAAATATATGTATGTACATTGTAGGTGTTTATCTAATCGGTGTACTCAAAAGTCGTAAATTTCAAACAGGAAACGTGCCTTGGAGCGATGATTCAGAGGTCGTCCCACAAGGGTTAACATCTGCACTGTTTCGCTGATTGATCTATTAGCAATCATTAGAAGACAGCTTATCGCTCGTTTAAAATATTAAATTAGTCACACGAAAAGTGATTACACTTTGAGGTTATGTTATGCACGAGAGGCAAAGCAACGAAAAAGCTTAACAGCTGCTGCTGCTGCTCTCTCTTTCTCTCTCTCTCTCTCTGTTAAATTAGGCACAAACGGCAACGGTAATTAATCACTGGAATTAAGAGTCAAATTTGGAATATTACCCAGCCTGTAACACACAGCAGCAGCAGAAACGGCGGAAAATCACATTGGAATTGAACACATTTATATCACACAAACTATTTCAGTATTTGAGTATTTCTTGTTTGGTTCTTTCCAGCGATAAGATTGACAAATGCCTGATAAGACAACGGCAAAGATAAGGGATATATTGTATGTTTGTGACGACTCTTTATCGGTCTGCAAAACGTCCGCCCGTAGTAGTCCGTCAAAGTGTACTGAACCTGCAGTGAAATGCCATGCCATCAGCTGGAAGCGACCATCATCACTCACGCCAATCGTTGGCATGCAGCACACTCCACTCTCTCACTCTCTCTCTCTCTGTTTATCCCCCTTACCACTTCCGCTCAATAGGCGCAATGTCTGTGTGTCGCCCTCATGGAGATGAGGAGTGGAGTTCATGAACCTTCCGCCCTCTGGATGCCTCTGGACTCCAGTGCGTATGGTGTGCCCCACTTGTACGTACGTACACGCTTCTGTCGTGTCCAAATCCAAATCCAGATGCAGCTCCAGCTCCAGCTCCAGGATATATACAGATACACTGATAATTTTGATAAACCAATGAAAAATCCCAAAAATATATAGGCTCAGGTTAATCTAAATGATAGTGAAAGGCATTCTTTGATTTGCTTTTTGTACAGGGAGATTGCTTGCTGTAGTGTATGGTTTATGAATCCAACAGAGCACATCTGTCCAATCTAAGGAAAAACAACTTGAGACGAGCCCCTTAATTGATATGTGTCTCCATTGCCACATACATATAAGCGCACACATACAAATGTATACTCGGAGACGAGAGCGGTGATCATTCTGTAATATATGTATGTTATTCATGAGCAAAACAACTATTTCTAGCTGCGAGCCGAGTGGATAGATAGAAAGATAACCCACCGCCGGCACCAAGGTCGAAATAGTTGAGAGCGCGTGAGTCGCTCGCGCCTTAGCCAATCCGATCTGATTCTGAATGGTTCGGAGCAAGAATACATAGAAATATTCGTAGTTTCAGATACATATTGATGGTATACCGGTGAAACGATTTACGCAGTACCCTCGCATAAAGCCATTGAGCATATAAACTTGTGCGGAAGTGACCAGGGGAGGGCCGGCAGGCAGGCAGGCCCCCTTCGATGAGCAAAAACCGGTGCGGAGCTGTGCGATCAATGCTCTCTTCTCTCAAGTTGCGATTAGCGGAAAAAAGTTTATGCGAAATTCAACAAATTGTTTAACAAAAAGCCAACGCATCGATAACGAGCTACAAAAAATATTTATATGGCCAGAGGTATCATAAATTAAGCGACCAGGGCCATTAGTCGGAAGGGAAATTCCACATTAAGGGTATCGATCTCTCCTCAAAAGCTGTTGGACCGATCAATCCGCCCGTTGGATAGTTTTCTCTCTGGCGATTTCATAATTGTGGGTTAATTGTTTTGCTTTGAATAAAGCGTAAACAACTAAATACGCTTCCGCGTCGCCGGCTGTTTGTGCCCCCCCTCCCCACCGAGTAACAGTAGCTGTTGTTCTATTCCAACTTGTTTACCCGCCTCTGATTGGTGGCCGGCGTGGGGCTCGACGCTGCTCCCCCGCCCCGAGTGTTGTGGTAGCATATTCATATATGTATGTATGTACATGCTATACATAGAAGATCTGTAATTCGCAGTAAACAAAGAATAAATGCATTTTTTTCAGGCTACAGAAGAACGTGCGCTTCAAAATAACAACAGCCAACGATAATTTCGATTCTGTTTTGTATTTTTCTTCCAAGGCTTTAGTAATTTTTAGTTTTTTCTTTCTTAATGAACTTTTACGAAAACAAAGCCATTAAAACATTTACACAATCGAGTAGGCGACGCGTGTGGTGGAATTGGATAGCGATAGAGGGTTGTTATTGTGTTTTTATTATGTCGTATGGAGGGGGGATGCTCTGATATCAGCGGAAATCCAGAACCAGCAATCAATATAATGCAATTTTGTCAACTGACTAATTAGTTATGGAAATAAACAACTTTAAGTCGATTTATAGAACCTACTCTAAAGATATTCGGGTAAAACGGGTAAGGTAAGCTTTGGTTGGGCTATCTTGAAAAATAAATGAAGGAATGCCTAGTTATCTAATCTTGGTGGTGTCGAAAACAACAAGGAATGGTCTATCCTGCACCTCTGAATATATAAGGGGAGACTGAATAATAATATTCCATATTGACAGATTTCAAATTTCATTTAAACTGAAATTTGACTACCAACATATTTATTTATTAATGGCATTCCGTGGCTAAATGCATTTTGCTATGGTATTTACGGCTGTACCTTCTACAATTAGAACATTGAAATGTACCTACAATCTATTATATTCATTCCCAAAAGATGTGATGTCGATATTTGGGGAACCTTGGAAACACAAAGGTTGGGCACTTCTTTTCCAATGTTTATGGAATCAACAAACTTTGAGATTTCAAACCACAAACATAAGTCCATGAACCCATCAAGAGAGCACAAACTAAAGAGAAACGAGCTTTACAGTTTAAGAGAGCCTCTCTTCACAAAGAGCACAGTTTATAAAAGCTATATTGAAAGCTCCCAAAAGCTTAGTAGAGTGGGGAAAAGAGGGTGAGAGGGAATGTGTCGCTGGGGATCGCGCATTTCGTTGACTAGGTCAATTTTTGCGGCTCCACAAAATTCGCCGGCAACGGTGCTGAAGGTGGGGGAGGGGAAGAGGGAGGGAGAGATCCAGCGGACTTATGATCTTTGGAAACGGTGAAATTTAATTCCAAAAGTCAACATTTTGTGGGCAAAGCAGAAAATTGAGCTGATGCAAAATGAGGGGGAATATTGGGGGGAGACAAAGCAAATGTTGGAGATACATACATACATACATATGCATCTGTATGTATGTATATGAGTGCTAGTTTTCGTGGAAGATATATGTATGTATGTATGTAAAGTGAAAGTTCTCTTGGGTGGACACTCATTGGCAGATCACTTAAGTAAGAGAGCCTTTATTGTACTCGTGTACAAAAATCACAATATCCACTGATGACCCAGATTATACGACACTGATAATAGTACAAGTAAATACGGTCAAAAGCCCGTATTAGTGCTACTGTACAATATATAAATATGTGCACCGAAAACTATAATTTATGCACAGTTTTTTAGTTTATCATTAACAGACACGATTTACACGATTTTTTGTAGTTTTAGTTTTTAGGTACTCGTAAACTCCACTGCATTATTCATACTTTTCTGATATTTGTAAGGTTTTTCTGTACCGAAAAAAAGCAACCCAATGTCGAATCATTCGGTCGATGGTGGTGTTGCCCGTGATCCAGTGCACTGAACTCGGCTCAGGTTCATTTGCATTGCAGCCCTATACCACTGTGCCTGCGCGGTCGTATCGAATCACCCTTTATGTGGAGCAGCAGCGCTAGCGCCTAGAGAGCATATCAAAACGCCAGTGGGGGGGGGGACACGGGCAGCACACCGAAATAACAATGGACACATGCAGAGACCACACATACACTCAAAATACTGGAGAAGTTTTGAAAACATTTAACCGTTTCACCTCGCTGAACCCCGGGCACGAATGAGCAAATTAAGCAAACGAATTATAGCCACTCCAAAAAAAGAGAAAAAAAGATCCGTAGCCAAGTCTGTTTTGGGCTAAAATTACCAAACACGGCAGCACCTTTCAACTTAATCTCTCGGCAAAATTCCTTTAAAAGGTATGAGATGAAATGAGCAAATTAATAGGTTTAACAATTGAATTCAACGGAGATTTTTTCCAAGTACGAGTAGTACATATGTATGATCCCCTACTTATAGGAAAAGCGTAATTGCAGTGATATTGCACATATGATTGCGCATAAGAAACGTAAAGAGCGGGCCATAAAAAGCACAGTTAAACTGATTACGAACATGACACGACAATGGCAGTCGGCAGTCGGCATGGCAACCCCTGGCTGGCTCCGCTCTGGCTCTGACTGCAACAATGAAGCCGATTCTTGGCGTTGCGCTGCCGCTTTTCATAAAATACCCGGCGTATTGAAATGTCACGCAAGCAATTTACATAAATGGAGTAGCTTCCGCTTGAAGAGCGGAGAGAAGCAGCAACAACAATGAGACACCGATGCATCAGGGGAGAAGAGTAGGAGAGAGCCTATGCGATTTGCACGTACGAAAACAACTGTTACGAGGCGAGGAATGGAACGGCAAAAGGTAACCCAGCAATGGGCCAATGGACGGCAATGGAAAAGAGAGAGAGAGAGAGGGAGGGAGAGGTACAGATGGAACTAGAAGGAGAGGATTTCGCTAGATCCAAACAATTTCCGAGCTTCTCTCACGAACCTAACGGTTACGTTACTCTCTCCAAAATCTTCTTCTGCCAAAAATGTTAAGCCACAAAACCTTGCTTTGCATTTGCATTTCTTTTCGTTCGGAGCCCACTGACCAACTTCACGGTTTGTTAACAATTTAATGTGCCTACAAATTGCCCAAGTCTTGAGTTTCTTTGGTCATGCTTGGCTCTTTCGTCGCCCCCACTGCCAAAGAACCTGAGAATTTGTCTGGGAGGAAAACTCAATGCGTAGAGGCACGTGCTCCGTGCTCTTGGCCAGCGTTCGCTAGGAGTTGAGAAGCATAGCAAACAATCAAAAGTTGTAATAAATACTACTTTGCTTTGCGTGTTGGCTGCGAAAATGAAATGCCCAGCAGCTGTGTGAAATTTTTCTCTTTATAATCGTTATTATTTTATGGCATCCCATCACGGTCTCGCTGCGCAAGCAGTATTTTGTAATTTTACTTTTCCTTCATTTCGATGTTGGAAAATCAATTTGGCCGTGAAATTGGGGAGGCAGCAAAACGTGCTTTTTGCACCCCAACAAAAGGGAATTTTTTTTTGCGGCGACGCAGTTGTTGAAGACAGCCGGCACCCTGAAAGGACCAAGACCCAACCTCAATCTGCAGTAGGTACTCGTACAAACATACATATGTATGTTGCCCAGCATAAACAAGAATCTGAATGAACTTGAGGCAGGGAATGGCCAAAACATTGTTTTGGGAGCATGTCTGTTACATAGGAATAAATTATGTGTGTATATGGTATATTTTCGGGTTGGTCTGATGTATGAAATCATTTCCGCTTTCCATGAGGTTCTCCTAATGTAGAGCATGACATGACATAAGTGTGGGTGTGGTTGTGGTGCCCATAGGCAGTGGAAAACACTTGTCCGTCAACGACTAAAGTTAATAATTAACTGCCAAATGTGACACGCCCTGACGGGATGAGAGCTGTTGTACAGCAGCTGCTAAAAATCGATAAGCTACCGAAACTGCAACGATTTCTGGACTGCCCTTTCCCAGAGGTTTATAAATAAAATGAAATTGCAGAACCTAATTACATGTTAAATGTGCTGTGTGTGTGTGTGTGGGGGAGAGGGGGAAATCACATGACTACTTCTTACACAAAAGATGGGAAAATATAAGCCCAGACACCAAGCACCTTTCACTTTATTTGTTTACTGCTAAAAAATATGTTAGGCAAATGAATGAATGCCAAAGATGCTGATGCTGCTGTTGCCACAATGGAAAATAGTAAAGAAACGAAACCAATTTGTATGTATAAGCCACCACGCACCACCACCAAGCAGAGATGGAAACAAGTGACAGCCCAGACCAGATCAGACGTCAATATCGAAAGTTGGTTGCAATACGCACCTGCTGCCACTACTGCTGCTGATGCTCCTCCTCTCAGGCTGCACTTGACTGCGTATATCAATTCGCCAATAATCGTTTTGGCTGGTGCCTGGTGCCGTAGTTGTAGGTTTTCCGAATTCCACTTGACTTTGACTCTCCTGGGCGCGCGAGAAAGCACCGCTAATGAGCGAGGAAAGCGGACGTACCCGTATCAGACACTCAGAGCCCAGACCAGGTTGTTGTTGCTGCTGCTGCTGCTCGCACACACACACACACAAAACAATTTGTTCTTTTTTTTAACACGTTATTGAATCTCTTTCACCGAACCAACTGGTTTTTAGTGCTCGCTAAATACATACACATTACCAACCACTTTCCAGGGTTCTTCTCTTTTATTTCGCAAGTCAAACGACTATTTCCGCTCTACCAAAACACTCCAGATTTTTGTGATTTTCCACTACACAATTTCGCTAATCACGCGTTATTTATTTAAAACTTCCAGGCGTTTTAAATGACAGAGCGGCTTAGGCGGAAATTTGAGCGCGGTGTCAGCTGATTAGCGATGACAACAAGCTTGCATATTAGAGAAATTTGAGCGCGGTGCAGGTCCCTCAGAAATATACCGAGCTACGTCACAAATTTCCAAATATACCGTAAATATACTGACGAATTATTTGTCCAGGTCCATCATATTCCTAGTTTTTGATGTTCGGTTGAATAATACTAGCTAGCTAAGACCCGCAGTTCAGAACTCATAATTTGATTCGATTTATAAATCAATTTCCTACAAGACTGGTTAAATTTAAGTTTTCATCTTTATTGCATTGCTGATAAAATAAGGCTTAAACAAAATCGGTACACAACGATTTCCACAAAATTCATTTCCTTACATGGTAACTACACGTTAACTACACAATTTCTGCAAATGAACTACATTTTAATGTAATTAACAATTTTTTTTTCAAATAAGCGTAAGTGAAAAAAATTTCCGTTATCCACGTTTTGACATGCCTTTTTCCGAAATTTTTGAATAAATTAATATTTTGATGGCAAACGATCAGGAACTCGATGCTGATCGCGAATTAGTATTCGATTTGGCGTTGGGCATGGTTCTAAATGGCATTTCTACACGGTTTCTACATTGGTGCATTGGGCAAGGGTGAATCCATAAAGCGTCTTTAAATGTGCTGGAAAATACTATTAAAAGTATGCAATTTGCAAGTTGTGTGAGCTAGACGTGGTGGTAAGAAAAGTGACGACTCTCAGAAATATATCAAAATATATACCGCTGACACAAACGAGCTTAGCCCACTTAACCCCCCCTATTTAAACAGTTCAACGATTTGTGGCAAATGGGGGAAAATATTATCAATTGTAGATTATCAATTTTCTCTGATCTTAAAAAAACTTTGCTAAAATCATTACATGTTCATTATTTTCGGTGGAATATTAAAATACCCACAATTGGTTAAACGTTCTCCGTCAAAGATTGCGCTCCATGTGCCCACGTCCATAGTCATAGTCCTCAGAGAAACACTGGCAATTCCCAGTGCCCGCCATCGGTCATTTTTGGAATAGTTTCAAGCATTTAAAGTCTTGTCTAAAGAAAAGGGGATCTCTCGTTCTCTCAACCTATATAAACGAGAATTTAGTTCGAGGCCTCATGTTTTTTGTGGGTTTCGGTTTCAGGTGTAGTTGGTTATAGTATTAATTAGTCAAGATCAGGTGGAAATCGAATCGAAGTGGCCAAAGATTATATAGAGAAAGATGAAGTGAACTAAAGCAAGAGTTACACACAGGTAAGACCCCCAGTGCAGAATGAAATACAATAGTGCGACAGTGGACATTCCCTAATTTATTGTAACAATTCTCCTTTTAAAAGGTTGGGTAAGGAACGGGAGCACATGTACATTTAATAAAAGTAAAGTTTCGTTTCCATTCTATTTCCGAACGGTGTAGGCATTGAAAATCTCAATCCAGTAGCCGTCGGGATCTTTGATGAAGGCCAATCCCTTCATGCGGCCATCGTCTGGTTTCTTCACGAACTCGACTCCCTGTTCCTCGAATCTGTAGGGCTTGCATGGTTAGACAAAGTTTTGAAATCTTATGAAATGATTGTTTACCGCTTGCAGGCAGCATAGACATCAGGAACCATCAGTCCAATGTGTCCAAAGCCACGGGGTTCGCTGTTGCCGTTGTGATAGATCTGCTTCAAGTCATTTTCAGTGCCCCAGTTGCTATAATTATAGAAAGCCATGTACACTCCCTCATCTACAGCACATACGGAACACTTACTGGGTCAACTCAATGGTTGCCTTGCGGCTCAACGCCCAGCTCCTGCGCTCCTTGGGATCCTTGGGTATGTCGTCGGCACTCTCATAGCTGCAGTTGAGTAATATGAAAAGTAATTGTCATTATAGATGTCCGATAGGGGAGCTAGGCACTTAGATAAGCGAGTGACGTCTGGTCTGCCCTTTCCAATTAACCTACCCCATGAAATACAAAGAAAACATGGACTCGGGGAAGTCCAATTTCGCCAGCAATGTCATGCCTAGGACGCCCGTATAGAAGGGTAGCGACTTCCGGGGGTCCTTAATGCGATACATGGTTTGTTGGAACAGGAATTCCTATATAGAATATCGCAATGACGCGTGTTAATGGATTCCACTCGATCGGCCTTTTTCTGTAATGTCTTGGTTTACCTCTGTTGCCTTATCCGGCTTTTTGCACAAAGCTTCGGCCTCGGCATTGCTTATGCCTGTGACATCACCCATTTCGTAGTTTTTCAATTAAAATCGCACCTGTTGACAACAAAATTTTTATCTTTTTGCGCAAGGCTTCCGCCGAAGAAGTATACCGAAATATACTGTCCCATTTTTAAGAATATACCGTAAATATACCGATGAAGAAACAAACTTAAACTCCCTTTATTTAAACAGGATAACAACTTCAGCTATGCCGCGGAAATAATATTGTTAATAATTCCTTTAATTCCTCTTTACATACAAAACATACAAGCCATAATTTCCGTGGATAGTATTTTAATACCCACTGGTTGACAATAGGTTAATCGTTTTATATCCATGAACGGAAATCCTTGATTTTGATTTTCGATTTGATATCACTAGCTGATAGCTGAGCCCTTTTATTGAATTTTTTCTAAAAAAAAAGTTTTAGCGAAAAAGGTCAAAGAAATAAAACGTAAGTGAATAATTTAATTTCTATTGCTAAATTTTGATGTTCCATTGAATAATGCTGGCTAACTAAGAGTCTCAGCACTGCCTACATAATTTGATGCCATTGATGAATAAATGTTCTACAAGATTAACTACTCTTAAGTACTCCTTTTTATTTTATTGTATTGTAAAACAAGGTTTAAAAAATAGACTTGAAACAATACAAAATGAAGAGAGCAGAAACTGGTGGTGGTAGCGATAGTTTCCAGTTTCCAGATAGTCCAGTTCTGAGGGCGAAGCGCCATCTATCGGAATACTATGGCGGTTCCAAAGTATATCATGATATAGGCGGAGCAGGGATACGTTACTGGGGATGTACGGAATATAATAGGATAAGATAGACTTATTAGTGAGGTTGCGAAGGGATGAATAGAAGTGAAGAAAATAAGAAAGCGTGGATTAAGGTAAAGAAGTCATAGTGTGTGGCGTATGTGTAAAAGCGGTCCATTCGAATAGGGTTTTATTCATAGCCTGGTCCGGAATACAGGTACCGGAACCGGGCTAGAGAATTTCCTGTTTTTGTGGTTTGTGTTTAAGTTGTTTCGAGAGAGTGTGAGGTAATATAGTAAAACAATCACATGGAAAAGTCGTACGTTCGCGACCAGTACTTAATTAAATTTCAAAAACACCAATAGAGATAATTTATTGTGCAACTATTCGATAGACATCTACAATAATCAACTTTTAACTGTCTTAGAATATTCGGTTCCGTTTCACAGATTTTACGTTTTACTAGATTAAGCCAACATTGATGAACCCCATCTTTTGTGCTAAACATAAAGCTTACAAAATTCTATCGAATCAAAAAAAAATCTGGTGAAAATTACCTATCTTTTTCGTATATAAAAATCGTACGTTCGCGCCCGATTTGAATTTGATTTCGTTTCACAGGCACTTCGTTGTCACCTTTAATCATCATCAGTTTCAGGAATCCCCCAGATTGAGGTATGCAATGCAAATTCAGTTTTCTTTTAAAAATATACATATTTATTAGTAATATTATCAATTTCAATTGCTGGGCTTACGCTGATTTGAAGTTTTATAAAAGACTAAACATATGTATCAATAAACAAGGTAAACACTAGATATAACGGTAAAGAAACATAAAAAATTGGAATCAACGTGTCCACTGAATATTAATGTTAAGAAATTGGTTCTGGGTTCATCGTGGGAGCAAGCGTAAATGAAGGGATCTCATCCAATCAGCCAATTGACTTGCTTCAGGTCACCACAGCACCATCGTTGCCATGGCGAATTAGTGTGTGATCGTCGGCGAGATCCTCGTCCTCATTGTTCTCCAGTTGCTTTTGCCGCTTCAGACGCAGCTCGAATACCTCGCTGATGGCGTCGCGAAAGCAGATGAAGTTGTAATCAATGACGCCCTGCCGATTGAAGTTCTCCTCGCGCAGTATGCACACCAATGCCAGGAACTTGTTCACCTCTCGCAGATAGAGTATCGTGTTGTTATTCAGCTTTATGAGACTAGAGCTGCCGCTGTCAAAGGCGGTTTCCTCCGAGCTGTAATGGTCATAGGCATATATCATCGACAAATGGAAATTTATCGAGGGCTTACCTGTATATACTGGACAGGTCAATCACCACATCGATCATGTCGCAGCACAGCTCATAGGCTTGCATATCCACAGGTGAAGAGTCCGTTGCAATATAGATTTTGGAAACCACATCAAAGAGAAAGGCTTTCTCAATTCCAGAGTTCTGCAAATTGTGGTTGGATAAATAGTAGGTAAGTGGCTCGACAAAGTACAGATATGACAAACCGGTATGAAGATGTTGAGAAGGTTCTCTAGCGTCGGCAGCTGGGGAATTAGTTTCTGCACCACCTTGGAAAAGGCCTCGAAGATCGAGTGATCGTATATGGAGGTTAGATGGAAGCTCAGATGGATCTGGTTGAGACCCGCCTCGCTTAGGTCGTCTGATGACCGCTGATGTATATCACGTTGCGATTCCATTTTTGAATCATCACTTATTCCGTCAACCTGCGGGTGGAGTGGCAGTGGGAACTAAGCAGCTGTTTTGATAAGCAACAGCCGTATCTGAACTCACTTTGTGTATGAAAACCTCAAACTTGATTCGCTGGTTCACTTTGTAAGCCTTTATCACTGTGTTTTTGAACTTGGTTAGGGCCTCGTTGTAGTCATCCTTGGCATCAATGACAAACACTAGGGCGCCGCAACCCCCAAAGATCATGTCCGAGTCGAAGGTGGGCTCAATGAAATCGATTTGGCCAGGAAAGTCCCAAATTTGAAACTGCACAAAGCTGGAATTGTTGATGTCGTCCTTGACGATCTTGCTCGTCGATTCGAGGAAGAGCGTCTCATTGGGCGACATTTTGTGGAACACAACCTTTTGAATTGAACTCTTGCCGGATCTGCGCAGTCCCATGAGTAAAATACGCGGCTTCGTTTCGCTGCTGCCCGTCGAATTGGGCTCCATTTCTAGACCATCCTGGTTGTAGGTCCCATATCCGAAATCCTTCGGGAATGTATCTGCTGGGTAGTCGTCGTCGTCGTAACTCTGTTGATATGCAAATCAGTCATGCTTTGCTTGATTGGAATGGAATGGGGAAAAGAAAAGCGTGTGATGGGCGGAGGCTGCTGCGGCACCAACACTAATATGGTTTCTTTGTTTACTTGCCATTGTGATAGCTAGGCTCGTATCCCGTCGTCTCGTCTTTAGTTACTTGGGCGCCAACTTGATTGGAGACTGCGCTTGTATCCAACGTTATTCCGACTAACTAGTTTAGTTTACTTAAATTTTCGTATTACAAGTTTCTTATCGGAATAAAAGTGTGTTCACATCGGCAATCAGCTGATAGGGAAAATTATTGTATCGATGAGTCGATAGAAATCAGCTGCTAGTTGCTAGCAATTCCGCTTTGCCACCATGTCTACCTCACACGCCTTGCATAATTTTGAGTATTTTCTAGAGTATTCCAGTATTTCTTAAGACTCGTTGTTGACTCACCTCGTTGTGCCAATCGAAACATGTAGAAATCGTGGAATCACACTTTCACCTGCAGGTGTCGCCTTTGGTAATTACAGACAGATGTAGTTAATACGTAGCGAAGGTGTAATTAGCGCGTAGTTGACATGTAGAAACATTAGAGCTTGTTCGAAATTCTTTTTGCCCTTCTTTGTTTAAAAATTATTTTATAAACAAGCGAATGAAGATGAGAACTTAGAGTTAGCCAGCTTGTAGGAAAGTAAGTCGTAAATCTGGTAAAATTATGTGTTGAAGGCTGAGGATTCTAGCTAGTTAGTAATATTCCACGGAATATCAAAAACGTGGAATAAGTATAAGTATAAGAATACAACTTCAATTCGTCAGTATATTTACGGTATATTTTTTAAATGAGACGATACATTTTGGTATATTTCTGAGGGTCGGACGGTATATCTTATCGATAAAATCCGCGGTCACACTGCTGATAAGGGAACTCCGTTTTCGAACTTGCATATAAACAAATTGATATTAATTAAAGTTGCTAAAAGAGGATGTCGAGGCGTGGACTGTTGTTGATGGGCCAATGCATGCCCTGCATCAAGCAAAATGCCTCCAAGATACGCATACGCCGCATGGAACTGGACAAGAATCTGAATATGGTTTGTTGCCGCTTTCAGCAAACAGTCGCATGGGATTCACTCAGTTTCCATTTCTCTTCCGTTTAGTACTTTAAAAAGGACGACTTTTACTTTGCCCACGATCCGCAAAAGGTGTGCAAGACCGGCGACGTGGTCCTGATACGAGAGCTGCCCGAGCGCATGACCCGCCTCATCACGCATGCTGTAGAAAAAGTGGTCTATCCGCTTGGTGACATAACCGATCCCATCACTGGCAAAAAAGTGGTGGTCGGCAAGTACCGCGAGGATATCGAGATGGCAAACGAGCTGTTCGGTAAGTCGAAGAAGTCCTTCGACTATGACAAGGCCCCACCACGTGGTCGCCTCGAGGGCACCAAAGACTTTACCCACGGCGAGACGTACATCAAATACCATGAAGATGGCAAAGATCAGCCCTTTGCGGTCTGATAAGTTTGGTATATCTACATATATAAGCTTAGTATTCGTTAAGTTTGCAATATAACAAACAGATGTGTGCTATCTATGATCTAATAGATCGTGCCCCAGAAAAGCCGGCCCAATCAAAGAGCCTGAATAAAAGATTTCTCTAAATATTTTATTTAAATTGTCGATAATGGATTTGCATGTCTTATTTGATTGCTTTCTTTACGTATAAATGTATTCATTTCCACTTTCGGCTATCAATCTGATCAACAGTTTTTTGTTTTTCGTTGACTCGTATTTTCCTAATTTAAAAAGTGTTCCATTTTGGTGCCTTGACAATGCAGCATGTCGCATGCCGCCTGAACATATTTTACTCGTATATGGTATATATATGCATTTCTGGAGATTCAGATTCAGATTCAATCCGTGCCATAAATTAAATTGTAAACTAATCACAATCTCTTACGATTCTAAAGTTGTACTGGAGTATAGGGTTCGCCAGGTGAGCGCTATCATCGCATAGTTTTTGCTGCAAACAAAA